TTTATATTTTGACAATATTGCCATTCTATTCTTAAGTATTTAGTTTTGATTAAATTAATCTAATAATCGTGAACTCTGAAAAAATGACATTATATTTTGCTAGTTTGGAAAACCTAAAGTTTGAGTAGTTTAAACAACTAAGGACCAGAATTCAATATGCTATGCTTTAAATGAATGTTCACTTATCTAAGAACGGTATACGTTATGGACAATTTCAAGACCTTACATTACAATGAAGTCAATAGAACAATTTGTAACAATTCTATAATATTTTCTCTTTTATGTGTAGTTTAAACCCATAATTACTTCTATCAAATATTTTCAATGCTCATGAGATAGAAAAAAAATGATCGAAACGCTTTTGTTACTTCTAATATACATTCATTGAAGAATACTAGATAAAAATAAGCACTCTGGCTATTATCCATCTATGCATCTTTTAGAGGTTGTTTAGTATTCCATGAAAAAAAAAATTTACAAAAAATTGCGTTTGAACGCGTTTGCTCTTCACTAAAAATACAAAAAAAATCGTTCAACACCGTGTTCCATATGATATTTTTTATTGAAATAAAAAGCGCATTTTTCCATACAAATATCTTTTTCTATTCGTTTATTCATATTAATTATTTTATGATATTCACATCATCCTCTGACTCCTTTCTTAGTAACTACTTCGCTGAAAGTTATAAAAATTTCGGAAAAGATATATCGTAATTAGTACTGCAAAAGTCAAAGTATAGCTGACATACAAATGATCCTCCTATGGACTTATGCTTAATCTTTTATTAGACAATAATCTATCTGTTGAGTGTGTCAACTTGATTTCAACTTTTACAATATTTTCTACGGTACATCTTTATAATTTTCAGCAAAGTAGTTGCTTCGAAAAGTGTGATAGAATGATGTAAACGCAATAAAATAATTTAATATGTATAAATGAATAGGAAAACGCTTCACAAGGAAAAAATTGAAAATATGATTCTTACTCATCTCCTAAAATATGAATCGGAGCAATCCATACTATCATCATCGCGCATAGGACATAGATATCAACAAAGTTAGATAATTCATAGATGATTACAAGATAGACACTCATGTAGATCTTCATCTTAGTTCACTCCAATCCGTGAGATTCGTACCTAGAACTATATGATCTGACATGTCTAACCGGAGATTGCATTGACATACAAAAGATTTTTACTAAATAAATTTCTAGTAATTCTATATATTTTCTTTTTCTATCAAGATATCTGAAGGTTATATATGTTTTTTTTTACTTCGAGAGCGGTTGTAAATGTGGATGTGTATTGCCATGCCCAGGAGAAGTGCAGTGGTCTTTCATCAGTTGACAAAATTTCAGAACTTCAAAAATTCTGCAGATATCTGTTTTGATTTAATTTTATTATAATACTGTAAGTTCGTGAATCAGGAATAGGAGATATGATAGATGAATACTTTCAATGTTCCCATTCGACTATTGAAGAAGCAACACATGGTAAGGAATACAAAGAAACAGAAAAGGGAGCAATAAAATTGAAAGGTGACTTTTATCGATACAAGTCGTTAATTGTGTTGAAGAAAACGAAAAACTACGTATATCAAAGTGAATTATTTGTCGAATGAATAGTTTATAAAAATATTCAAGCTTTCTTTTGAGAACAAAGCAACTAATATTTTTCGGCGGTCTATACAAAAAGTTAGTAGCGAAAAAAAAAAGAAATTGAACTAATCTTTGATTAAAGTATTGTGACGGTGGTAAACAAATAAGCATCACTTTTTTCTTTTCACAAATAGTCTCTTTTACTACATTGAAAATCTGATCAAAGTAATGTTCTGACTATCGATCACTAGAAATTCTATTCAAAACTTTAAAAAACAATGCATGACTAATCATTACATGGAAAAAAATTTAACAGAAATCTTACTGTTGTATCATGTCATTTATAGTTTTTTCAACTTGTTCAAAATCTTTTTTTGAAAAAACATTAGCTAGTTTTATTCATTTGACTTTGTCGTGTTTATTACATACCTATTTTTTTCTGTCCTAATATTTAAATACATCCTGCTATACGATAGTTCTATGTTTGTCTCAAGAACAGTACTTTTTAAGTGATCTATTTTTCAATATGATATTAAGAAATGTTTGTCTACATGTTAGCAGATTTGTAGTTTATAAGGAAACATTTGTACTCAAAGCATAAACTCCAAATAAAAACGGTGAAATGGAAAAGTAGCGTTTTTTATCAAAAACTTGCCGTAAAACTCAGACAGACAAATATCTCTGAAAACACGTTGAAAGGATCAAAACAGTAGGAAAAATGCGCGTTTTTCGTTCATGATAACGGTTCCCGATTATCAGAGACGAACAACCACTTTTCTGTTGTCATCAGGAGGTGTGATTAAGACAAAAATATCCACTTTTTTTGCTTTTTGTACATTTAGACAGGTTTTCAATAATATGTGATCGTTTGAGTTAAAATTCATGAATATTCAAAGAAGAATGAGTATTGATTCATTGCAGTCCTTGTATTTCATGATGTATTTGAACTTTCTAAAGATGGTTTTTTTGTCTGATCATCTCACGGGCAGTCTCATGCACAGAAACATGTTTAAATGCACAAGGAGGAGATAAATTGATCTTTTTTCTTCCAATCACAGTTCCTGATGATGATAGAAAAACAGCTAGTTTTTACCTGTCTGTCCATTTACATGCATTTTCACAAATATTTGTTTGCCTCGGAAATCTTGTCTGATACCATTTTTTTTTCATGTATTCTCTATTTTTGTAATATGAGCAACAATATAAAATGTTGTTTTACCTTAATGTTTATCAAATAATGTGATAACATTGATAACTAATAATAACTGATATTCATATCTTTTAATGTTTTTCTTTAGTATTTGCAGAGGGAGCATGTAAAAAAAGAATATATCTAAATATCAAAATTTTTCACCGCATAACTGTTTGAAGAAGATCAATGCTCATTGTACTCATCAATATATTACATTAATAAAACAAATGAATATTAAAAAAAGCATACATTGCGTTTTTTTCATTCGATATTGACGTCATTCTTAAGTTTTGACTATTACAATTTACCTTTGAGTTTGTTCTTCTGAAAAAAGTAAAAAGGCAGAGTAAAAAGTATGTGCATGTACGCTTGGTTTTTTCCACTTCGTTCTTCTCTTTTAATGCAAGTTTTTACGAACAAGAAGAAGAAGAATAAAAAAAAAACAATACTCTAAATTCTTGATGACAACTCTCAAGAAGTAAGTTTCTTTTCCAACAAATTATTTTTATTTCTATGAATTATAATAAATCACACAAAAGATAATAGAAGATCTGATGATGTAAATATTTTATTATTAGGATAGACAGGTATTGAGAAGATTATATTTATCAATGCATGTATAAATTATCTTGTTTATATTAACTATATAGGACTATAAATAGTTCTATCCAAGCATTCATACCAATTTCATTTTCTATTACAGTTTCAGATACATTTATCATAATAAAATATAAATATTAGTAAAAAAAATGAACAAGAACAACACAATAAAATTGTTGAATGCCATCTAGAAATGAGTCAAAATTTTATATTGTTGATTAGTCATCGATATTTACTTTTAATCCATGCGTCAAGAATTAGTATTACATGTAGACTAGGAAGAGATGCAAAAAATTTCTAAAATATACTTGATTATATTGGTCAATATGAAGATATAAATGATATCTCTCTTCTACTTAAATCAAATGAATAACATTTGTCAAATACATTTCCTTTTTGTATTAAAGAATTACTTCGTCATCTACATATTAGTGCTCAAGAAAATCTTATGTTTATTTTTACAAATGCTCGATCAAGTTTTTTTTTTTATAAACCTGAACGTACATTAGTTCAAACCTAATAACACTAGTAGTGATATACTTTCTTCAAAAGCCAAAACATTTTTATTTGATAATGAATTATTTTATGCTGTAGTGTCATATAAAAATAATATTGTATTTTCATCGAAACATATGGTAAAAGATACTTAGATCATACCAAAAGTAGTGCGTCTCGCATCTTAATCTCGTATAGACTGCTTGGAAAAAATTTCTTTTTTTATGAACAGATAGAGCGTTTTTTGCTCTATCTTTCTATGCTATTTGATTACTATTCAACTAATATCATAATAATAAAATTTCGATAACATCTGTTTCTTTCGCATGTGTCCTGGTACCATGAACATGAATGCTCGTGGGTATTTTTTGAATAACGTTTGATAGCAACAAGATAGAGAACTGCGGTTTTCACCGTTGGAAAGGGGATATGAAGGCACATCGAATCGTATATTACTGATTTTTCTAACCTGTTTTTTGTAAGGTTTTCAGTTGACCTTTTAAAGAACAAACCTATCTCGTGAGTTATTTACAGTGAATGTTCAATAATCAGGTTCACATTCAAACCAATAATCGAAGATTTACAAACTAAGAAAGACTCAGATGTTTAAATTTAATTATTTAGAGATAATATGTATTCTAACTACGATTTTCTATCAACTTTTTTGCTTTTTCTTTTTTTCATAAAAAGAAAACATTTTTTCAACGATTAGAAAATTTAATAAAAAAACTTCAGAAATCGTATTAGAAAAATCAGTAAAATACAGTTCGAAGCATCTTCATCTCCTCTTTCCAGCAGTAAAAACCGCCGTTCTCTATCTTGTTGTTATCAAACGTTATTCAAAAAGTACTTACGAGCATCCATGGTACCAACACGTATGCAAAAGAAACAAATCTTATCGAAATTTTATTATTATGATATTAGTTGAATAGTAATCAAATAGCATAGAAAGATAGAGCAAAAGACGCTCTATCTGTTCATAAAAAAGAAATTTTCTTCAAGCAGTTTATACAAGATTAAGATGTGAGGCTCACTACTTTTGGTATGACCTAAGTATATATACAAAGTTGGAATATATCAATTAATGAATTTTTTAGTTTTATGTCATATTCAATGAATCATTCATTACATGCATTAAAAGACACTTTATCATTAAATGAAGGTCAACCATTAATTCGACCCATTACTGAAGTTGCTACATTAATGAAAGAAAATATTCAACCTGCTAAAAATCGTGAGAAAAATGTTCTCTTAAAAGAAACCGATTAAGCTTAGTTAATGCTACAAAAATGATGTTGAAGTTATACCACTTATTCATTCAAGAATAATGTGTACAACTGATTAAAATACTCAAGTTATTAATGTTGATCGTATGAAAAAAAGTTGGTTGTGTGAAATTTTTATTATATATGTAGAATCGAGCAAGAAATGATTTGCCATCCTATTGTACAACGTTATGATGATACGATGAACAAAAATTCAAGTATGATATTTTTGCTCCAGCCGTCCACCGATGATGATCACAACAGTTTTAAGAAGTCTCAGCCATCGTCGATTCTTTAAACAGTTGATAAAAATTTCATCTGCTATCAAGACATTAAAATATATAGTAGATTTTAGAAAAATTTTCTACATCTAAGATTAGTTTTCATAGATACTCTTATCTACTATCTTATTACAACGTTCTCTACCATCATTTATCTTCCTTGTTTCATTTGAAAATTCGATGGAACTAAGAAAATTTTAGAAAAAAAAACCAACAAAAACTTTCAGTTGCTGCCGATTAATGCATCGGCTTATATCTCTAGTTATTAGTCAAACAAAACGACATTATGTTCAAAAGTAATTGAATGAAGTTTTCTTGCCTTTTATGATCATATTTCAATGATTCCGAACAATATTCTTACGAATCCAATCGTGATATTTTATTTTATGGCAAAAGTTTTTTCAATAGTTTCATTGAAGATATCTTCATTAGTAACTTCATTTGTTTTGATGTTTCCATGATGGTATCATGTCTTCTATTTTTCTTTTTCAGATGTTACAATAATTAGTACGTTCTTTAACGTATATGCATATCGAAATAGATCTAGCAAGATACTACAAAAACTATTCTGATTCAAATATGTGACTAGTATTTGGTCAGATACTAGATTGAAAATATTTCTATTAATTGTATAACTGAATAGTCAAAAAACTTATCTTGTGAAAATATTCAAGTACTTCCTGAATACCAGAAAGTATTTAAGAACTGGAAAAGTAATAGTTAGAGATTGAATCATTCTGGTAAAAATAATTACAAATCAAACTACCAACTCTGATATCTGCGACGTACTAGTAACAGTTTATTCTAAGCTCAATATTTTTATTAGATCAGTTACAAACAGATAATAGTAATAGAGAAATTCAAGAGTTGAATCTTATTGAAACACATCAAAATTTAAATATTGTTCTATATTTACAGATCTATGCAGCGTTTGCAACTGTCATTGAAGTAACCATATGCATATATTACATATGAATATCATAAATATTTCACGTATGTTAAAATAAGCAACATTAAAACTAAAATTCACTACAATCGAAAAATATATTACCAATTTAAAACAAGAAAAAACATCTATGGTAAAAGTATATAATCAACTATCAAAGTTTTTTTTCACAAAATTTTCTTGTTGATTATTATAATAAGTATCTTATTCAAGAAGAACAACAAAAACAAGAAATTGATTTATTTCAAAAACAAAACATTAGATAATCTAAATAAATCAACATCGTTAATAAATGTTTTAAAAGATATTAAAATAGAACAAAAAAATATTTACATTTATCTACGAATGTTTGTATGATTTGAGAAAAGAAAAAATAGAATGTTTCAAAAATAACTCAAATGAATATTAATCAAGATTCGAGTACAATTTGTTCAATTATCAAAAAAAAAACACTTTCATCAGAAATAATATTATATTTTTAATTTAAACAAAAATTGATAGCTAATCGAATTATGTAAAATATCTTTTATATCAATCAATTTTTCATTATTATATATTAGACGTCTTTTTTTCGAGCTGCCAAAATTTTCTTCTTTCAAGACAAGGTTAGTGTTTATAAAGCTAGTCCATTTATCATCATAAAAAAATATTTGTATATAATGTAAAATTCTCGGAGTTAAGCCAGCATATAAATCTATTAGAAGTTATTTTTACTGTATTGTACATATTTTGAATAGATGATGTTCAATGTTTGAACATTTTTATAATAATTGAGTCGAGATCTAAATAATTTCATCATAATGAACACACGAAAGAAAAAAAAACTAAATTAAGAAAAATAATATTATTATAGAATTTTTTTTGTAATATTTATTTGATTAAGAAAGGTAACGCATCGCTCTGAGACAGAAGAGAACGACCTTCGTTTTATCGTCATCAATAGGATACTTCCATTGAATTATGTTTCGTTCTCTTTTTCTGTTTCTTTTTACACATACACTCAACTTCATAGACGGTAAATAATCAAAATTTTCACTTTTTCTTTTCAACAAAGAAAAAAAAATAGACTGTTATAAAAGAAAAAAAGAGTGTGATAGCAAATAATTGACTATAGCTCTAACTGAAGAGTTAATTACAAGTACGTTTTCATCTAATTTCTTTGCTTATATAGTTATAATAACTTGATTTTGTTTTGCATGTAATAAGATGAATACTGCAATCGATATTAGTATTGCATATTTTCATAAGGATTCATCTATTCATAATGTTACTTCGATTTGATTTTACCTTGAGAAAAAAAGTGCAGTCGTTTACTATGTAAACTATTCGCCTTTTTTTTTTAAGTTCAAATCATATATATAAACAAAATTTAGTATGTATATATATATATATCGTTAGAGTATCAAATTAAAGAAGTAAAATTTGAAGTTTCAAATAATAATAATAAGAATTTACTGTCGTAAATGTGTTTTTTTGTTTTATAAATTCGAATAATATTTTTTTTCTTAACCTTGAAACCCCTTGCATCTAGAACGACAATCAATAAGTTTATTGATTTATGTAAATGAGCAATGCAATGTAATAAGGTATACTTTCTTCTTAAAATACATCTGATTATAAATTTGTATAAACAATGAAAAAAACTCAATCATTTGTTAAAAATTGTATTTTATCGAAATTTACATCAATGAAAGATTTTTGTACTATTAGTAAGGTACATTAGACATATATCATTCAAATTAGAGTTCTCATTGCCAAACTAAAAAAAACAAAATTTAAAATGTAAGCTGCTTCTGGCATGCACCGAACAAGATAATGGATTTTATAGTAAATGTAAAAACCCACAAGTCAAAATTTTTAGACTATTTATTTTTCTTTGTCTGTAATGATTGAATAGACCTTGTCGAGTTGTAAAAGAAAAAGTTTGTTTGATTTTTTTTTGGTCTATTTGCCTTTTATTTAAAGATAATGATTTCTTAGACCTATGTCATAAATCTTTTATTTTTAGTTTCAAACACTTTATGCAATTCGATGAACTCTATCCAACCATTTCGAAAAAAAGAAAAATAAATAGTATTCAAATTTTGATTTTGTGAATTGAATATGTCAAATGTTTTTTTTTTTTTTGCTAAAAGTATAAAACTTTCGATTATTAAATCAAAATTCTTCGTCATAGTAATCTTGTTAGATTCTCATAATATTATTACTATACGAAACATAATAAAGTTTATTTACTTTCAATTATGTTACTATATTAACATTAAAGGTTCAAGTCATGTAAAGATCATAATATTTTTTATTTTACATTTTCTTTGAAAAATTAAAATCTTATAAAAAAAATATATAACAATTGTTTTTCTTTTTGTAGATTGTCTCAAATTAAGACTTGTATTTATTAATAAATACGAGTAAGAATATGGGCGAAACTTCACGCAATCGATCATGTATGAGCATCTTCAAACCTCAAAATGGATATCCAATTGAACGAAAAGTAACCGATGCTTCAGGTCGTTTAGGTTCACTTTATGATGCTTCCACAGATAATTTAGTTGATCGACATTCTTCTCGAAGAATTAAAATAAAAACACCACGTCAACGTTCTATGTGTCGATTGTTTTCAGGTGATCAATCAAGAGAACTCAGTAGTTTTCTAAGAAATATCGATTTTGATTCTGCACTTCGACAAAGTATTACTCTTCAAATGGTTATACCATCAGGCGTTGGCCGTCTTATTGAATATAATCAACCTATTAATGATAAAACTCGTTTTCTATATTATGCTTATAATGGTCGAAAAGAAAAATTAAATGTTAAAGCTCGAAAAGCTGATCGAGTTGTTGGAGCACCAATAAATTCAACGGAAGCAACTCATATGATAACGAAAATTTTATGGGGTATTGAAATTTTATGTGTTATACAAATTCCAAATAATCAATCTGTTAATGTAATTGATCAATTACTTAATAATATTTGTCATCAACTTAAAAATAATCAAATTCCAATTCGACTTAGTGATGCTGATAGACGTCTTATTAATCAATTGACTACTGTCACTATATTTGGATCTGAAACATGTATCGATCCATCGAATACATCAATATTAGCTGTTCTTAATAGAATACAACATTGGCAAACAAATACAAATTTTCATCAACCACTTTTATATACGATGCAACCATTAAGATGGCTTTATAATAGTCCACAATTTTCAAATCCATGTTCCTTACCCAATCCAACTGATCCTCATATTGCACGTATTGAAATGATAATTAATCGTATAAAAAATCAGATAAAAGATCTTTCAACAATGATTCATAATTTTCCAACAAATTTTTCAAGTCCAACACTTGATCAACGTTTAAAAGATGTTCAACAACGATATCGTTTTTTATTAGATTCACAAGATAATCTTCAAGAACGTCTTCGAAGAGCACTTCCAGATGTTCGTCGACAACGCGTTAAATTAACAGTATTAGATAATATTATTGCAGATCAATGTTATGAATGTTTACGTAAAATTGAAATAGATAAATTTCGAACTAATGTTGAACGATTATTTAATAAATCGATATTAATTAAAAAATTAAAAAATAATCTTATTGAATATATCAATGCATTTGATATACGTTCTAATCAAACAGTACCAACAACAATTAAGGATATTGATAGTATACTTAAACAACTTTATTCTAATGGACATGTTCCTATCATTTTTTGGTATTCAAGTGATCGTTTAGAACGTATACAACATGATAGATGGGAAGAAATTTATCAAGAATTAATTTCAGAACGTCAACAAACAACACAACGAATAAGTTTAATCTATGTTGATTTCACTTATTTTGAACAAAGATTAGAAAGTTCTTGGATTGTACGAATACCATTGACAGGAACACCTGAAACTCATATTGATCCAATACCAGGTAAGAAAACAAATTAAAAGAAACAAAACTCAACATCATGTCGAACAAATCATCATATAGCCACCATTTATTTTCTAAAAAATGGTCATGTCTGATTTGATTGTATAGATGCTCGAATATAAGTGAAGAAGACAGTTTTGACGTTAACAAATCTTCAAATATTAAAACTAAATAAATATTTCTATTTAGATATAGAACATCAGCCATCACTTACTAAACGATCTCCATCACCTACAAAAAATAGATCAAAATCGGCACCTTTACAAACAACAATACAGTCTCCACCTCCCATAATACCACCTAGATCTCAAACACCAACATTTGTACCTTCAACACCATTATCTAGACCTCTAACACCACCATCGATAATTCCAACACCACCACCTAGATCTCGATCACCGATCGACATTAACGTACTACTCTTAGGAGAAACAGGTGTTGGAAAATCTACATTTATTAATGCATTTGTTAACTATTTAAAATTTGATAATCTTCAACAAGCTGAACGTGGTGAACCAGTTGTATTAATTCCAGTTTCATTTCTTATAACAATTGGTAATCAATTCGAAGAATTTATTGTTGAATTTGGTAAAGCTGATACAAATGAAAATTATGAACATGAAGGTCAATCAGTAACACAACAATGTAAATCATATGTATTTGATTTAAATGATAGATTACGTTTACGTTTAATTGATACACCTGGTATTGGTGATACACGAGGTATTAATCAAGATATTAAAAATATTGATCATATATTAAATTATATTAATAATTTATCTCATTTAAATGCTGTTTGTTTTTTACTTAAACCAAATGATTCACGTTTAAATATATTTTTTCGTTCATGTATTAAACAATTATTAACTTATTTAACACCAATTGGTTATAAAAATATTATTTTTTGTTTTACAAATTCTCGTGCAACATTTTATGCACCAGGTGATACTGGTCCATTACTTCGTAAAATGCTTAATGATGAACATCTTAATGATATACCATTTAAAAAAGAAAATACATTTTGTTTTGATAGTGAATCATTTCGTTATTTAGCTGCAAAAAAATGTAATATTGATTTTGATGATTATCAAAAACAAGAATATATTAGTAGTTGGAATACATCAGTTAAAGAATCTATACGTTTACTGAATTTTATTCAAACATGTGAACCATATTATTTAGAAGAATGGATATCTCCAAGAAGAGTTACACTTGATATATCTATGCTTGCACGACCACTTATGGAAACATTACGTTTAATAATTTATAATTCAAAAATAAATGAAGCTAAATTAAGTGCTAATCAAATGGCATTAAACTCAAATTCAGTTAATATTGATATGTGTACACATTGTGCACAAATTAATGTTGTTGATATAGGTCCATTTTGGTTAATTCAATATAAACAACCTATTTTAAAAACTGATAAAAATCAACATTATCGTTGTCCAAAAAATGGAAGACATTTTTCAATTGAATCTATAGTAACATATGAATTTGTTGCACAACCAGCAGGTCTTAAAAATGAACGATGGCAAAGTTCTTTTCGTAATTTTCTATATAAATGTGATAGACTTCATCATTTCTTACGACAACAAGGACCATCAGTTGATGATGATCCATTTTTACCTATAATTGAACGATATCTTGATGAAGAACAAGAAATTTCTCAGATTTGTAATATAAATTCAAATATGAATACACGAGTACATGAAGTATTAAATACAATAAAAAAAATTCGTCAAGAAAATAGTCAACAATTATTTGGATCAAATGAAAGACTTTCACTTAATCAAGTCTATCAAATAATTAATGAATTAATAGCTATACCAACAGTTAAAAAACAAGTTGATAGTATTAAGAGAAGTCGTCAATTAAAAATGCAAGAAAATGAATGTATTATACCAACAAATTCAATCAAAAACAGAATATTTGTTTGATTTATTAATGTTTGTCGATGATTTTTATTTTTTTCTAATAATAAATTAATTTGATTATTAAAAAGAAAAAGAAAGAAAAGAAATTATCTTTCATGATGAGATAAAAAATTTAAATATATTTATTTTTCTTTTAATAATTCATTTTTATGTAACATTTAATTATACACAGATTTGATGATATTTAAAAAAAAGTCGTATATTTTTTCATGTATGGATTGAGAATATCGATGTACGATAAGAAATTCATTCCTCTAACGAACTTTTTTTTATCTACATTACAAACAATAGTATTAATATGATTTCAATGTTATATATATATATATATCAGTTAATCAGATTCCGATAAACATGTTTGTTGAAATAGAAGATGATGGCAAAATTTTTAGGTTTGATATTTACATGATGGATTGTTTGATTAATCTGATTTCTCTCTCTTTGTACCAAGGTATACTGCAATGATAATATAATCATTAATTAGGATCAAATCGCTCATCATTTTGTTACTTAAATTCCAACGAAGTGTTTATCACGTTGCTTCATATTTTGTATATAGTACAAAAAAAAATGATTGAAGTGCTGATGAGATATCTACAATAGTCAATATATTATCCAATGTAGCATCTGATGCAGATTTTGTGCTTCTTCTTTAAAATTCTTGCAATATTTGTAAACTCGTAGATGGTGTTTGGATCAGCACATTGAGCTTTAATGTTAATAATAATTGGTTAATATCAATAAGAATAATTACTACTCTTCGACCAAATGGTAAAATTAAATTATTTAATTTTTTGGATAAAAGAAGAAGAGGAAGTAAAATTTATTCGTATTTCTTCTATTGGACTCAATTGTTTAATTCTTATTTAGGTACATATAATACACAACTATCAAATCCAATATTGTCTATCATTCGTTGTCGATGTATTAACAAGGACCACTTGATGAATACGCTTTGTCCATACATATTCTTTTCTTTTCTTTTTTTTTTTTTCTATTTAATTATTTATTTTTTAATAGTAAGTATGATGAATTTCCTCGTGCTCTCCTTAGTAATTAATTTACTATTTTTGATATTACAAAGACGATGTCATATACATGTATTTGTTTTAAGAGTAACCAAAACTGACGTGAAAGATTTTGCAATCCTATGACATAGATCGATTTTCATTACCTTACCAATACATTTTTATTGTGTCAGTTAAACAACCATAGATTTTAAGCTTGTTTACTTACATACTTTTACCGGTCTCTAATAGATAGTTCAGTTCTAAGGATTTAAGGTTCGGCTTGATACCTCATGATACTACGCAATAATTTTCATGTCAATATTATAAATTATTATAGATGAGACGACGTTAGCAAAAGTATTGTAATAAATTAGCTTTTATTTGGAATAGAAAATTTTTAAGAAGGTAGAAAGCATAATTGCAAATACTGACCATTTAATATGCGTCACCCGTCATGTAATATATATAAAACAACCATCAAATACTTGCATTTCTGTTAATATTGCTTCAAAAGTAAAGGAAATTGCTCAGTTTTTAGTTAGTTACGCAAAAAATAACTGCAGTACTAGTTAATATGCACATAAGATAGTAAAAATAGCTAAACTTCAGACTTTTCTTATAAGATCTATCCGATTCATATTTCAATAAATTTCGTTTCAAATATTATTAATGTTACAATACTTTCATTTCAAGTTTCTTTTTTTACAGTCATTGAATTTATTTATCTTTAATTTTTTCTTTTCTTTTTTTTTCATTTTTCCGGCCTAATCAAAATCTTTTCAAACTTTCTATTCGAACAACAGTTAATCATCTAATTGAATTGATTATTTCTCCAAAATCCTAATCTAATTGTATCGTCAAAAGTTTTACGAAATGTCATTTCGATTAATCAATTATCTACATAATCAATTATTTTATTTGAAATATATCAATATTTGAAGTACTCTTGCTTATTTATTCATTAACAAATTCGATTGTTCATCCATATTAGATATTTTGATTAAATAGAATTTTTTTTTAAATAAATTATGTAACTGATTCAAACGTCAATATTTTACTTCAAGTAATCTTAGGTTGAAATATTTCTATATATATATTTTTTTTTGTAATTGGCCTCAAACCAGTAAAGAAATACTGAAGAGGGCAGACCCAATCAAAGAATATGTAATTAATTAATAAAATAAATTTTCTGCTAATAAATAAGTAGAAAAAAAAACATATATGAAAACAAAGAAAAAGTCTTAAAGCATTGATGGTACTTGCAACTGATGGTTTACTCGTATGTTTTTTTCCTATCTCGATTGACTGAAAAGAAAAAGATTCTCTGTTTCTACGTAAATTTTTTGTTCTGTTTTAGTAGTACACAGTAACATAGATCATCATTTTCTTTTTCTGTTCTCCCAAAGAAAAGAAAAAAAAACAAAAAGAAAAACCAATGTCATTCTATCAAACGTAGGCCTCACTATTGCTTGTTTTTTTTGTCCATGTCCTCCATCAAAATGGTTAAATAAAAAATAATATTCAATTGAATGGATTTTTTCTGTATTTATTCTAGATTAATATCATGGCATCTCCATCAGCTCCATGTCGAGAATGTGATCGTGGTTCCTACCGATGTGATGGATGTCGCCAATCATTTTGTGAATATCATTTTTCACAACATCGACAATATTTAACTCAACAATTTGATAATCTTACATCTGAATGTTCGAATTTACAACAAATTCTTGCTCTTCCACCATCATATGAAAGTCTAACACAAAATACTGAACTTATAAATAAAATTGATCAATGGGAAGTTGATATTATTCGACAAATTAAAGAAATAGCTGAAAAAACAAGAGAAAAAATTCGTCATCGATCTGATACAATCGCAACCGAACGATTTGGACCAGAATTTCAACAATTAACTCAAGAATTACAACGAATAAATCCTTTATATGAAGTAGATCTTGAACGATTAACAACAAAATTAAATAATTTAAAATTACAAGTAGACGATTCTCTATTAACTACAGCTGAACTTCGAATAACACCAATTGATTGGAATACACATCTTCAAGTTATTACAAAACAAAATACAATACGAAGAAATCAACAAAATATTCATTTGGAACGATTATTAACAGCAAGACCAAGAATAAGTTTAGATGTTAGAGGTGCAGATTGGCATATTTTAGGTGCTACTTCATCATTAAATTCATCATTTCTTCATTATCAACATACAAAAAAAAATAAACGTTTATCAATTGTTAATGTTAATGGTCAACAAAAACAAATACCATGGTTTAATGATCAATCAATATGGGATAGTTGTTGGTCATCTTTTCTCAATAAATTTATTATTTTAGCTGATAATCAACTTTATATATATGATGATAATATTGTAACATCAGATTCAATGCAACTTATTGAAGAAGTTAAACCAAAAAGAGATAAAATGGAATTTCTTCGTTGTACTTGTGCAGATGAAACTATTTTTATTACTTATGATGAACGTAATAGTTCTATTGATGAATATAATATGAGTCGTTGGACAATTGTTCATAGATATGAAAATATTGTTAAACAAAATGAAATTATAATAAGTATTTCTATATCAGAAATAAATTCAAATTTAATTGGAATAACAGTTCTTAATGATAAAGAATATTGGCATTTTGAATTAAGAGATCGATCAATGTTACTTATTTCATCAATACAACTTGATAAAAGTGAATTCAATCGACGATTAATATCATTATCGAATTCATCTATGAATTGGCTTATTGTTCATACTGGATCAACATTTTTTACTATACTTGATGAAAATGCACAAACAAAACGAACGATAGAATGTGCTGAACCTATTGATTTAGCAACATATTTCGTTTCACAAAATTGTCTGGTGCTTTTAACTCAAAAGAGTAAATTGAAATTTTTTGATTTGTAAGATAAAATTTTTTTTTTTCAAATTTTTTTTATCAATAAAATAGCTTAGTTATCGTAATACGTAATTCTATCCAATGATCATCGTAATCAGATGAAATATGTTTTTTTTTTTGAAAATTGTAAGTCATTCAAATAATCACTTTAATAAACTAAAAAATAGAACGAGGATTGGACAACGTTTCGATCGGTGTCAAAAATGTTAATTTTAAGCGAAATTTTGACGTTCAGGTTAAAAAAAATTTTCCCCTAATGACATCACACGTGAGGATAAAATTATAAAAGAGTTCGATTGACAGATAAAAACTATTCAACCTGGCAAAATTAAAACTCATATGAATAATGAGAATAGTTGTAGGATAAATGACGTGGAATAATGAAAAATGATTTCACCTATATGAACACTTCTAAGATAACTATTTGTTCATACACATACTTATTCAACGGAAAAATGAAGATTTCTATAGGAAAAACGAAATAAAAAAAACTGTAAAAATGATTTCTTCTATGGGGAAAATTGTTAAATAGTTCAATAGTTATATAGATACTTATTCAGCGAAAAAAATGAAAATTCATAGGAGGAATGGTTACTACTATCAGACGCACAACATAACATATAAGAGAAAATACCTCACCAGAGAGCAACAACTATTGAAAAAACTGCTGAGCTCTATAGTAAAAATAATCAAGTAATCTATTTTAGTTGTTATTGTAAATGGCATATCATTTTGAGACATTACCAATTCTTGTCAATAATTTATGTGTAGAACGATCGTATTCTCCACCTGGTGACCAAGTGATGCTCCTCTGAACTTCTATTTATTTTTTGATGTTTCTTTATCAGTCTCGACTAAATTTAATACTTTTTGACTTTTCTCTGACAATATTGTACTGTGTGGCATCAGGGTATGCAATTATTTGAGAAATTAACTTTTCAACAAGCAATAATAATGATTATGGTGGCTACTTAGTCACAACCCAGGAATTCTAAAGAGATTTTGAATAGTTCTCAGCACTTCATGGACCAAAATTTCGATCTATCTTGAAAATACTTGATTTTGAATTGTGGACTAAACTGTAGTGTGATTCGAATTAAATAGATATGGAAAGTTTTAAATAGCAACAGATAGTTTCAAATCGCTATACAAGTCTAAAAATCTATGCATTTTAAATAGCTGCATGTTAATTAACAGTAATGTTCAAGGGTCAAAGAGATATCCGCTTTACCCTATGTCCTTTAATAACACAGGTGAGGCCTTTCATACAGAATGAAATTTGTGATATATATAAGTAGTTAAAGGGAAGGACAAAAATAGTATAGCAACGGACTTTTCTTTCTTCAAAGGATTTTTCCTTCTGATAGCATTGTTTTTATATAAATACAAAATATATTTTGATAGATTTACATCGTAGAAATGAAACTATCATATATTCTAATATCATGAGGATCTATGGCTCGTTCAACGGGTTTGTATGTTTATAAAAGAATTTTTGTTTCCGTGTCTTAGTTTGATTGACATCGATATAACGGTGATTCACATAGATTTGATTCAAAGAGGGGAAATTGTTATATATATGAAGACTACTAGTATAGTAGCGGAAAAATGAAAATCAATAAAAATAATGCTCAACGCTGTAAGAAAAATGATTCGAAGAAATGCATTTTTTCTGTGTCTTAAGAGATAAATGTTTTTATTGTCAATTATTCAAAGTGAATATAGCATTCTTATAGTATCTAGTAGATTGTCAACGGAATGATGAAAATTAGATGATCTATGATATGACGTAAATTTTCGTGTACATGGAAAGGATTGTTTTCGCACGTATTCCTTTTCTGAATGATAATCATAGAAGAATGAAAGACGGATGAAATATGGACACGTATGTATATATGTATATGGCGGTCGTTCTATATTAACAGAATGGAAAGAAAATTCATTTTTGACCCGGATGGCATTTTTTCACTTAAAATGAGCATTTATCTTACCGATTGATTTGTTGTCCACTGCTGATCAAATTATTTTATTCCCCAAAATATAATTTTATCATTTATTGACGTGTTGATGTTGTTCAATGGCTATGTTTATTCAACAGCAGCAGAAAATTGCTAAATTTTTTCAATAGTCTTCTTCTTCTTGTCTTTTCCTACTATTATCATTATCATCTGTTAATACAGCACAATTATTATTTATTTTCGTTTGAAATAAATTAAAGAAATATAACCAACAATTCCTTTTAATAAGGACAAGACCAATAATGGTATGTTTGAGTTACTTTTATCCTCACTTACATGTTCAACCTCCCATTAATGCTTTCTTACTGACTTTATGTCATAGAGAAACATATCTCATGTCCATTTCCTTTCTTCCATCGATGTAGATAAATAATTCAACATAGAAAATGGAATTTTGTTTGCATCACATACTATTTCGAAACTAGCTTACTGAACTTGATTATCGTCATCGTCTATCAATGTCAGTTTGATATATCATATTGAACATGCAAAACCGTCTGATGTTATTCTCGAAGTCAGTCATATAAATATTTGAAAATTCTTCATTTATTGATAAACCAAATGTTTTCTTTTGCACTCAATTTATTATTGAACTACGTCGTGGAGTAAAACATTTTCTTTCCAGGCTTCTTCTAGTCCTTGATTCAATATTTAACATGTTTTTTTCTGAGCAATTCAATCTTATCGATCAATGATTTTTTTTTCTACTTACAGTCACGCAATGCAATCAGCTCTACCAAATGTGTGCGTTACTAACCAAGAAACACTAACTTATTCTCTCGATTTCTTGTATTCATTACTAATGACTGTTTTCCTCTTCTCTTCGATAGTAACCAGTTATATTGCCAGATTTCTTACTCATACGCGTTTCTTTTATATAAAACTTGTATATTTTAGCTTGATTTTTATTCTCAGTATTACAGATTTCTGTTTGATTTTAACAATCGAATTCTGACCACAACATCGAAATCAATTTTGTCGTGCTGAAACTTGACAATTCAAATTAATTTTTGCTGTTCATACTAGATCATGGCTACTCTATCCATACCATCTGTCAATTCTACAAGTAAAAAACGCGCTCTTCTCATTGCCAACAATAATTATAAACACGGAAGGACACTGCGATATTGTACTAATAATGCACATGATCTGCATATTAAGCTGTGTGCAATCCATTTTCAAGTGACTCTCGGTATAGATTTGACTTGTGAAGAAATGGATACGATGATCGAAGCATTTATACTAAGTGTTTGTCCTGGAGATCTCATTTTTTTCTTTTTTTCTGGCTATGGAGTTCATTGGAATGATCAGAATTTTCTCTTACCTATCGATGATAATCAGATTACTGCTCTATCAATGTTAAAACATCAAGCGTTGAATGTTCAAGATACATTCAAGTCGATCATGACTCGTGGTCCATCAGCAGCAGTATTCTTGCTCGATGCTTGTCGAAGTTATCCGATGTCTCACATTACAGAATTGACAGGTCCGCTCGATTTCGGTGGTCTTATCAAAATGGAACCATTAACTGACTCTATGATTATCTTTACTTGCGACGCAAACAATACGGCATCGGACAAATCAACAGATGGACGACATACTAGTTTCATGACTCGTATTCTCGAATACATTGACGAACAGAATTTGCCTTTCGAGGAAATGATGAATCACATCTGCGAGGATATCAAGAACTCAAACACTAATGAAAATTGCCCTTTTCGACTCAATGCCCTCCACAAAAGTGTCTATTTGAACTACCAAAGTCTATCAGGTAAATTTGGGTAGAGGAATAATAACATAAGATAGATTCTCATATGTTTCACCGTCACTTATTCAAAGCGTTTTCATACAACTCACTATAAATTATAATGGTAGTAAGTTGTATTCAAGGATTGTCTGCATCGTCTTCCTTCTTACAAAACATATTCTCTTTACGAACGCTCGTGATTTTGAGTACTCCCTCGAATAACGATCGAAAAGACACAAATCTCACTAGAAATCTTGTTGCTTTGTCAATCGTATTTCATTACCTGTAGCTGTCACACTTCACTGCTTCTTTGTCTGTCTTAACTCTAAACTGAACAGAGGTGGGATCGGTTGGCATTTTTGCCAAACCGAACCGACCGTAACCGAAAAAATCTCTAACCGAACCGAACGTAACCGACCGAATTTTTTAAAATTTCTAACCGAACCGACCGTAACCGAAAAAATCTCTAACCGAACCGAATGTAACCGACCGAATATTTAAAAATTTCTAACCGAACCGACCGTAACCGACCGAATTTCAAAAATTTCGTAATCGAACCGAGTTTAGAGAAAGCGAAGTTTAGCTTATTTTAGTTAGGGTATTAGTGCTTTATAAATTAGCAACAACAAATCAAATAATAGCAACTAAAAATAATGAACACTTAGAGAAAGCAAAGAATAAAGATTATTTATTGGATCTTCTTACTGTATTATAACTTCCTTACCTCTCAGGGCAAATTTTAAAAATATGTGAGATAATCCGCGTTGCGAGCAACAGCTAGTTGTTGTACGATTATATTCTTTTTTCTTCTTATGTTTCACTGAAAAAGTCCATTGAACTCAAATGAAACGATTATGTTGATTCTTTCTAACTGAACCGAACATAACCGACCGAATTTTTTAAAATTTCTAACCGAACCGACCGTAACCGAAAAAGTCTCTAACCGAACCGAACGTAACCGACCGAATTCTCTAAAAATCTCCAACCGAACCGATTTCGGTTACGGTCGGTCGGTTCGGTTCGGTTAAAAACCGAACCGGTCCCATCTCTGAAACTGAACCAAGTGTGACTACTTCCCCCCGAGTTTCTGTACGATGCAAGCGGTCAGAAGCTTTGACGAACACGACCTGAGCATGTAGTACTTAGAATTTCATTTTTTGAATCTCAATGATACATATTAAGTTTAAGATTCAGTGTGAGTCTCAGATAGGTATCCTTAACGAAGGAAACATGAAGAGGGAAA